TTGCATCAAGTAAAGGCAGTAATGGGATGATAAAGTCTTTATCTTGCCCAAGTGTCTAGCAATAGAATTTATCAACATGCTTAATTCTAACTCATCAGACACTCACTGAAATATCTATTTTACATTTCTTTGCTCCATATTGACCACTTTAAGGTCACTGACAGAGTATCCTGGGAGGCTGAAATGTTCTGCTCCTGCTTTATGAATAATGCCATTTCTGACATTCAATTGGTATCCATTTATTCTTTTTCAAAGACAGGCCTATTTAGCCTATGTAGACTGCAGAAAGGCTAAATCACAGGGGAAGATGAACAAATGAATGAACCCCTAATGCTGTTGCTGATGTTATTACGTCTTGTAATAGTGTTTCCTGTAGTGATAAATATTAGGGATACAGCTGGAGTTTGAGCTTCTGGCAGAGTCTGGTCATTGTGTTTGTACCTCTCTTATGCAGCTTATACCCCCTTTTGGAAATTCTTCACTTTATTCTTCTGAGTCACTTAACCTTCATTAAAATTAGGGTTGCTTCATATTTTATTTGCCTCCACTAAAGAATTAATATCTGGGAATGAAAGAGTTACATGAGCCTAATATGTAAATTATATTATAGCAGGTGTATATTTTTATGCACATTATATCAGCTTCCTAAAGTACTTGACAAAGAGCAACACTGCCATTCACACAGTCATATAATGTGGAAAATCAAATATTCCTTAACACACAATATATGAATGTTTAGATAGAAAAAATGTCCTAAAATTCCCATCTTTCCAAGCCAGCCTTGAGGGTGCTGGCTGTTGGGAGCTGTACAAACTGTTTTAAGACAGATGGGATTGCATCCTTAGTTTTGTATTTCTAATCACCTGAGGTTAGACACACACATACCTGATCATTAGAAATCTCCAAAAGGACAACACAGTCACTTTTTGTGTGGATTCTACCATTACTCCATTACTCCAGCAAAGACTCAATTTGCTGACCTGGCCATTCATGAATCAAATGGTATTGTATATGAAAAAAATTGCCTTGTAATATTCCATTGTATTGTAAACAGACAAACAGGCATCGATAGCACATATAGAATTACTAGCTATAGAGCATGGATAAAACAAACATACCACCAGGGCTGGCAACAGCTATTTGGGGGCCTACCTAAACGGGGACTCTCTTATCAACTCCTTCTTATACAAGTCAGCAGTTGCACTGGGCCTCAGCCTTCTCCTTGCTCTGGTATTAGCAGGTGCTGCTTCTACTCCACCACAACCAACTCCTCCTTCAACCAACTCCTCCTTCAACCAACACCTCCTTTTTCAGGCCCATTCCAGGCAGGATAAAGGAACAGCAGCAGCTTGCCCACTTTCTCTCCAGACTGAAAGGGACAACAGCAGGGAACAGAAGTGAGCAGGAGTCAGTGTTTTCTCCATTCCATTGGGTCAAAAAGGAGAAAACAGGTAGGCCAATGAGAAAGACACAGCTGCCTCTTCTCATTGCTCTGGGCTGGAAGGGATGAGGAAGTGAGCAGACAGAGAGAGACAGCTGGTGGTGGTGAGAAATATCATTCATTTCATAAGGTGGGGAGGCACTAGTCTAGTTGGAAAAAGATGTCCTCTGTCACAGCGTAGGTCCTGACAGCTGCAAGATGATGCTGGCTGTGACACCAGGTCTAAATACCACCAAGTCTGAAACAAAACATATGATAAATCTTGAAGTGTGGATATTGGTTTGTGCATGTTATACCTACTAAAAAGCCTAAGTCTGAGCATTTCCAAATAGTTGGAAAGAAAATCCTTTGAAATCAAAATATGTCTTTATTTCATGATCGATTATATTTTTAATCCACCCAACATGTTTTTTCTGGGCAGATTACATACAGTTAAGAGAATAAAATACAGTACAGCACAGAAATAGGTAAATATAAAAGTACCTAAAACAACCATAAAGTCTAATGTCACTAAATTGTTCGATAGAAACAAAACAACTTTGCATGGCATCAAAATGATAACAATGTTGGCACAAGGAAAAAAATCCACAAATATGATGCCTCTCTTTCAGCCACCCACCTAATTTCGTCTGGCAGAGGACCTCCAAGTATGACTTCAAGGTTCAAGCAAATGCATGTAGGGGATGATAGTTCATTAGATACTCAGAAACAGGATGGAATCACTGACATCACATTATCATGAGCCTCTTGGTGCGGGTGAAGGAGGAGAGTGCAAAAGTTGGCTTGAAACTCAACATTAAGAAAACTAAGATCATGGCATCCGGTCTTCTCACTTCCTGGCAAATAGATGGGGAAGAAATGGAGGTAGTGAAAGATTTTATTTTCCTGGGCTCCCAGATCACTGCAGACAGAGACTGCAGCCAAGAAATTAAAAGACGCTTGCTTCTGGGGAGGGAAGCTATGGCAAATCTAGACAGCATACTAAAAAGCAGAGACATCACCCTGCCAACAAAAGTGTGCATAGTCAAAGCTATGGTTTTCCCAGTTGCAATGTATGGCTGTGAAAGTTGGACCATAAGAAAAGCTGAGCGCCGAAGAATTGAGGCCTTTGAATTGTGGTCCTGGAGGAGACTCCAGCGAGTCCCTTGGACTGCAAGGCGATCAAACCGGTCAGTCCTAGAGGAGATCAACCCTGACTGCTCTTTAGAAGGCCAGATAGTGAAGATGAAACTCAAATACTTTGGCCACCTAATGAGAAGGAAGGACTCCCTGGAGAAGAGCCTAATGCTGGGAACAATAGATTGCAAAAGGAGAAGGGGATGGCAGAGAATAAGGTGGCTAGAAGGAGTCACTGAAGCAGTTGGTGTGAGCTTGAGTGAACTCTGGGGGATGGTGGAGGACAGGAAGGCCTGGAGGAATGTTGTCCATGGGGTAGCGATGGGTCGGACATGACTTCGCAACTAACAACAACAACAACATACACAAAAGTGTCTCAGGCGGCTTACATATAACTTACTACAGTAAATGTAGGCTATGTATAGTAATCCAACCAGGAGGTTACCAGAACATACATTAACTGTCACCAGGAGAAATCTGTGCAGACACAACTGAATTTAGAATATAACCCTAAGCTGGTTAAAGGTGTTTCTGCCTCAAGCCTTATGATGGCTCTAGGGGCATTCCCAAGCTGCACACCTGAGCCTTCAAGGGCAGTGCAACCTTTTCCAGAGCAGGCTGAACAGCACCCAGCCAAGCAGATAAACCACCCTCTGACTTATCTTAATGGTGACAATTACATTCTGGTCTATAGTGCACACCACTAATATGTCTGATTACTTTAAAAGGTAGGCATGTACTTCTAATTCAAGAATGAATGACTTCACAAAGACTTTTTTTTTTACTTTATTCCACACCCACCCAACCTTGATATGGGCCTCCCTCCTGAGGGTCATAAAACAGAACAGCATGTCCACTTCAGGATTACAGAAAGGCAAGATGTTCTGCTTACTTTTTTTTTTTTTTACTGAGTCACTTCAGTGTTCATAATCTTTATGCTTGCAAAATAGGGAAAGTGGTTTTAGGACTACTATTCTACCTCTTTTTCCACAAAGCCTATTTTACAGTTGTAGCATCACTTTTTAAAAAGTAGTTTGCATACTCTGGATTAATGCAACTTTAGAACAAAGGACTTATCCTAAATAAATGCCAACAATACCCAAGCCACTCCATCCAAACTAACAGTCCGTTGCTGCCTGTGTAAATAATGTGCTGTTATCATAGTCCCGTTTGCTTCAAAGCAAGATCACGCATGATTCATGCATGTGGGGAGGTAATCCAGAAAAGTAAAAGCCAACGCCCTGAAAGGTAACAGCATATTGACTCCTCGTCATCACAGTCGCCCTGGCACTGCCTATATATCTCAATGGGCATGACCGTCTGCCCGCCAGCTTCCTCGCCGCCTTTTTGCGACCCGTGGCAAGAAATCTGCCAGACGCCCTCATTTAAGACTTGTTGAAAGGGCGGGCAGGGGGGAGGGCGTCATACTATCCTACAGGTGACGATCCCATCCCATGCTACGCACGTCTCCGCTGCCCGGGAGGACTTTGCTTAAAGGCCCAACCCTCCTCCCAGTGGAAACGGCCGGAAGGCAGGCGAGGCGGCGCTACCCGCGAGTTCCTCCGCGCACCCCCACGCCCAAACGGCTTCGCGTGGGACACACGCCCGCGTAGGGGCTGCGCCAGCCGGCAGTCCTATAGGCGCCTCCTCCTCCTCCTCTTCCACCACCCCTGCGGCAGCAAGTTAACGTCCACCCCCGCTGCCGGGGCCCTCCAAGCCCTGTCCGCCCGGCCTGCCTTGACACGGGCGCCTTCTCGAGGAGACGCCTCCGGTGCAAGAAGCCGGCCGAGGGTTGGTCGGAAGGAAGGGGACGAGCAAGTGAGCGCGCCATCCTCGCCTCCACACCTAGCAACAGCGCTGACAGGACGCAGCGGCCGCCGCTGCAGCGGGAGGAGAAGGAAGCGGAATGGCCGCCTCAGCGGCGGCTGCTCCCTCCCCGCAGCCCTGACAGCCAGAGCCGGGGCGGAAGCAGCAGGCGGCGTGGACTCGTCCTCCCCCTCCCCTGGGTCGCGGCGCTCTGCCGCTGCCAATGCAAACTCAGTCGCCTTTGCAACTGCCTAGCGAGCTGCATGCGCTCTGCAGCCGCCCTGCCGTGAACCTCAGGCACCAACTCGCCGCCGCCGCCTTCCCGCTCCCCCCTCCCAACACACCCACCCTCGTGTCTGCTTTCCTGCCAGCCACCCAGCGCCCCCTGCTCCCGTCAAGAGCCGCCCTCCCATTCATCCCCACCCGTGCCCCGGCTGCAGCCGCGCCTGCTGCACCCTCCAGCCCCCACGCCCCTCCCTCGGCGCTCCATGCTGCTGCCGCCCGCCCGCCCGCCCGCCCGCCGCTCCGAGCGTGGCTGGGGGTCCCCTTCCACCACCCACCCACAGAGTCCTGTCCCCTCTCCCTCCACCGCCCCCGAAGGCACACGCCCACGCGCCTCGGGGCTACCCTCGCTCACCGATATGGTTGTCCTCGATGTGTTCGATGAGCTCCGCCAGGGTTGGGAAGTGGAGCCCGCAGCCCCCGAAGCGGCAGGTATTGGAGAAGAAGGAGGCGGCGGCGATGCCTGTCATGGTGTTGCATGGAGGGTTCGCCCGCCCCTGCCACCCTCCGCCCTGCGGTGCCCCTACTCTGCCAGGGCCGCCGGCGGGAAAGGGAGAACCAGAGAGAGAGAGGAGATGGAGAGCGAGCGAGAGGCTGGGGGTTGGGACGAGGAGGAGGCGGCGGCGGCGGCTGCAGCGTCGGGAGCGGCGGAGGGGAGGGACGGGCGGCTGGGTGGGGGGAGATGAGGCAGGCGCAGCTGGGAGGAGGGACCATTGCCGCACTGTAACAGCTGGGCAACCCCTGCCGTCGCTGCCTGGCTCCGCAGCGGGAGCCCGCGACCCAGGCCACGCTTGGCGGCGGCACCTCCACAGGCTGCTGCCAACAGTTATCTGAGTTGGGAGCACAAGCGGGGGCGAGGGAGTGTTGGGGGCTCCAACAGTTGGGGTGTGTCTTTTTCCCCTCTCAACTTTAGATGGGCTGTTTCTGCATATAACTTCTGAACTCCCCCCCCCCACACACACACACACACACGCAAAGTAGGAGGGGTTGCTTGGGTGGAAGAACCCTGCACCTCCCCTTCTTTTCTTTTTTTTGCCGAATCTAGCACTAATTTGAGCTCATATTTAGCCTCATTGCAGGCTGTTGGTAGGTGCCTAGACTTAGGCCTTGGGCAGAACTCACCATAAAGAGTGTGTGTGTCATTTGCAGAGCTTGCTTTTCTGTTCTAGCAGGGCAGAAATGATGAGCCATCCCCACTGATGGCCTCTATGTATCTGGAATTAGGAACTTCTGAACAAGAGGGCCTTTCTTGAACACTGGTCCCTGTTACATAAATTTGATTGTGTGTGTTTATCCTGTCCATCTTCCAAGAGCCTCAGGATGGCATCCACCACTCTTCCCCAACCTGGTGCCCTTCTGACTACTCATAGTATTCTTGACTGTGGACCATGGCTGGCTTGGACTGGTGCAAGCAGAAGTCTAAAGCACCTTGAGCTCACCATCCCAATGTTGTATCCTCAGTGGAGAAGTTAGATGAGTAACAGTTACTGCACCAAAACTAACTTTGGACTCAGAAAAAATTTGAACCCATTTCCCTTGATCATTTTCGAATTTGGCGAACCAGTTGGGTGATAATGGCTGAGATAGCCTTGGTTTATTTCCCTTGTTACAGACACCACAGATTTCACTGTACCTAATAGACTTTAAGTAGGCATTACTTTCTTCGTTGTATTCTGCAATTTACAACCCAGTTTTGCCCTTGGGCAAGGGGAAGCTGCTGCCCAAGATAATCAGCATCTTGGATTCAGTCTGGACTTTCGCTCTTGACTGTATAACAGTTTTATTTTTGGAATTGGTGAAAGTGGGACCCTTCATCCTGTTAGTATTTATAGGAATACATTTATTAATGCCACTCCCCTTCTTTGCCTTGTACAATGTCTTGCACTGCTTCAGCTGTATTTTCCTGCTTTCCTGTGATAATGCAAGATTATGGGTAATTTTATTTCATAGATACAAGTCATGCTTCACAGTGTCATTCTGTCTTCTCTAGAGTAGGAGAGGATCAATCCCTGAGGGTGCTTCCAGGTATTTTCTACTGTACCTGTTAGAACCCAGAATCTGGGTGCTGTAGTTTGCAGTCTGTCATTGAAGACTTGCATGAGCACCAGTAAACACAGTACTTTCTCAGGTGGGCAGCCCACTAATTTCTTTAGGTTCTGTGTCAACTTTATTCATTAGAGCTGCTAGAACACAGTGGTATACTGCTATAATTATAACCCATCAGCATTGCTAATGTTATCTTAGGTGTTGTCCAGATGTTTTGAACTTTAGCTCCCATCATCCCTGATCCATGTGCTATGCTGACCGGGTCTGATGCAAATTGTAGTCCAAAGTCCAAAGCACCTGGAGGGTGCCAGGGTGTCTGGCCCATTTGCTAGGATAAGTAATTTGTATTTAGGCTAGCTAACAGGACACTTACAGTGCCTGTCATCTTGGTTGCATGATAAACTTGTACAAGCTAACTGGAAAACTACTCAGGTGTGAAAATATATTTTGTTGTACCATTTAACCCACCCACAGAAGCTTAGTGTAAGGTCATCTGGTACAAGTTAATAATATCACCATTAGGACTGCCAGCTAGATAGTGACAAAGTGGACTCTTCAGAACTGTTCCTCAATTATTGTGACTGCGCATATTGCCCAATTTATTTTATTAACTATGTGTGTACTCCTCATCTACAAAATTTGTTCCAGAGCAATTTAAACAATTAAAATGTGAATGCTACATAATAAAGCAAATCAACAGATTAAACAAAACCATCAGCAAGATATAAACTGCCTAAAAATTAAAAAAAAACCTGGAACCTAAAAGAAAGCTGTATTGGAACAAAGCAAAACTTTGCAGGAAGAGTTTCTATAGGGTTCCAGGATTGAAAAGACCGTGTCCCTAGTTGTCTTCTGCTACTCCCTTAACACGAAGTGCACAGAGAATGACCTCATGGTGAGCTGAGCCTGAGACTCATCTACCTTTTATATACAGTTTCATTGACCATCAGGATTATATGTGTAAGCATGCCAGGTTATCATCTCTTGTGTCAGTTTTGCATGATATGCACAGTGTGGCTTCATGAGATAAAATGCTTGCTGCCTGAGCAAGCTGTCACCCCACAGCAATTTATTCTATGTGCTGAAGTTATGAGAGGGAAACATCTGGTTAAGAAAAAACTACTTAATCCAGCCTCCCTTGATCTGGTGTTCTCCATATGTTTGGAGTACAGTTTCTAGAAATGCTGGGAGTTACAGTCCAAATATCTTGAGAGATCCTAGTTGAGAAAGTCTTGCTTAATAAGTGGCATACTCATCCAGAAAGCTTCCCCTCCACCCCTGAAAATGCAAAAACCTTCAAGGTATGTAATTATGAATTAACACATTACTGAAGGCAATAAAATTAGCTTAGGTTGTACTGATCTTTAGCAAATGTCTATACCAATTCTACATAGTAATTGTTTTATATGATGCAGAGCTTGGCAGCCCTCCAGATGTTTTGGACTACAGTCACCATAATCCCTGGCTACTGGCCTTGCTAGCTGAGGCTTACAGGAGTCATACTGCAGAACATTTTGAATGTGTCAGGTAGCTTATCCCTGATACAATGTTATGAGATATTTTACGGCCCAGAGAATATTGTGATAAGAAAGGCTGAAGGTAAATATATTGATCTGAAATAACCAGATGTATCTTTAACCATTGTGGCTTATCTATTTATTTATTATTTAATTTATTTAAAGTTTTTATATCCCATCCCAATACTAAAAGTCTTTGGATGGCTTACAAAAAACAAAAACAAAGCAAACCATAACAACTACAACACACAACACACTGAATCCAATAGTGATAAAAACAAAGATAAAACCACTTAACTGTTAAAATATTGGGAAAATAAAGAGGTCTTCACCTGACACCAAAAAAGAATAAAGAGACAGCACCAGGCAAACCTCCCTGGGGAACATGTTCCACAGTCAGGGCGCCACCACTGAAAAGGCCCTTCTCCAAGTAGCTATTCTCCTTCCCTCCCTCCCTCCCTCCCTCCCTTCCAAGAGAGCTCCCAGAGAAGGACCTCTCCCACAGATCTCAAGGGGCAGGCTGGCCCATAGGAAAGAAGTCATGTTTGCGATGTATAGAGCAACACTAAGTACACGAGGGCAGTCTTCTAATGCCACACGAGACATATTCTTTTACTGTTTAAAGTGATATGGAGAAGTTCCTGATCTGTACAGTGAACCATCTGTAAGCCACAAGACATGCATTAGCGCAATGCATTCTGCAAATACTCTATTCTCTTTCTGGTTTTATGCGAATTCTTAGCCTCCTCAGTGATGCCACTTCTGATGTTCTCATGTTTAACATCAATTATATATCCAGACTATTTATGCTAGGCACAGTTATGATCACTGCCAGCACATTCATTGTGCTGCCATTTGCCAAACTCTGTAACTGCCTATATTTCTTTGAGGGAGTTCTCACCACAGCAAACGAGATGACAAACCAGTGTTTGGTTAGGACCACTTCAGACGGTGGAGACTCCCACAATGTTCCTTCACATTACACATAAAAATTTCTGTGTGTAGAAATTAGAAGTTGGGAAGTCTAGCCACACCTTCCTGACATTCATGTTTTTTATACAGGGGGATGCTATGTTGTGATACCATGAGCAGCCTCTCTGAAACAGCGAGGTCCAGATACAGGTTTGCCACCACATCTGCTGCTTGAGAAAACGAATACAGTGATTACATGAGCAATGGATTGTCTAGTGAATAAGTGCACTTAGGACACTGGAAATGCTCTGCTAATAGCAATTTCAAAATGCTATTCAGCTCTGTTCTCTGCTCATGATGTATTGAACTGACTGTTTGGTAACCAGTTCAGCTTGTGGCCAGGAAATGCAAGATAAATCATAGATACAAAGCTGAGAATACCCAAAAGAGAAATGGATATTCATATATATGTGTACCAGCTCCAGGAACTAGAGTGGCATTTTGAGTCATTGTAGAAGCAGCTAATCAATCAATTTAAAATTCCATTTTCTACCATAAATACCTTTATTTAAAATCAAAAAGGGTCAATATTGTAATATACACCAGAATGCTTGAAATATAAGCTCATTTGAGCAGTAGTGAGTTATTTTTCTTTCCATGGTGTTTGCAGGGATTTGTACTGAGAGGGGTATATTACTTTTTCCCTAGGATGCTTCTTGTGTTAGCACGGTGGCTGACAGTTTCTGTGGAACAGAAAGTCTTATAATGAGAGTCTGAAAGAACTGGGCCTCTTCAGCTTTGAGAAAAGCAGACTGCTAGGTGACATGACAGCACGCTACAGGTATCTATCTCAAAGGCTGTAATAAAGAAGGAAAAGATCTATTCTCACTCATCCCAAATTGTAGGATATGGAATAATGAACTTAAATTACGGTATACCAGGTACAGGTTAAACACAAGGAAGAATTTCTTAACCATAAGAGCAATACAACAGTGGAACCAGTTGCCAAGAGGGGTTGTGTGTTCTTCCACACTAGAAACATTCAAGAAGAAAATACACAGTTATCTGAGTGGGATGGTGTAAATGGCATCCTGCACTGGCAGTGAAGTAGACCCAAT